AAGGGAAGGGAAGGGAAGGGAAGGGAAGGGAAGGGAAGGGAAGGGAAGGGAAGGGAAGGGAAGGGAAGGAGAATGAGAGAGAGGGGGAAGAAGGGAGGAAAGAAGGAAGGGAGAGAAGGAGGGAAGGAAAGAGAGAAGGAAGGAAAGATAGGATTTTGTGAGAGAGGAGGGCTGAAAAAAGAACCCAAGGGGCTGCACCCAGCCTTGGGCCTGGGTTTGCCCAAACCTGGACTAATGGAATGGCCTTGGATCTTGATTTTGAATGATGTGATTTTAATAATTGGTTTTCATGTTGATGTTTTAATTTCTTGGTTTTAATGTATGTGTTTAATTTATTGTATGTATGCTTATGGCATCAATTTACTGCTTTTCTGTACGTCCACTCTGAATCCCCTTTGGGGTGAGAAGGGCAGAAGATAAATGTTAGCAAATAAATAAATAAAATAAATTACAAGGGTGTGCAGAATGTGATTCTGGGACCATGACATAGTAAATCAATGCAATTGCGCTATTGAAGAGATATCTATGTGAGCGTGATTGTAGCAGAATAGTGAATTGGTGTGATAAAAAGTACTGAGAAATAATGGCAATTGTTTTAAACATGACAGAAAAGCTCTACATTGCAAAGATGTCTCATATGTAAAGTTTTATGGTTGTTTGCTGCCCTCTTGTGTTCAGTTGCATCATTCTGATTACTGGATATGTTTCACATTACAACATAGTGATTTTTAAAAAGTATACAATTGGTCACTGATGTTGTCTTTAAACAAATGTGGAAAATCAAAATTACCGGTTTCTCCCAAATTCTCTCTGCACTTTAGTTGTCAGGTATTTTGAAAAGGGATTGTGGAAATACTGCATCTGATTCTGTAGAAGGTAAAGCTGAAAGAGCCATTGTGGTGTAGAGGTGGAGTAGGCTACTAGCAGGCCAGGGTTCAAATCCCTGGGTGACCTTGGAGAAGTCAAACTCTCTCAGCCTCAGAGGAAGGCAAGGGCAAACCCCTTCTGAACAAATGGTGCCAAGAAAATCCCTTAAGGTTGCCACAAATCAGAAATTATTTGAAGGCACACAGCACCAACCACAGCAAAGGCTAAAAGGAAAAGTGGGGAATGACTGTAGAGATGTCAGTGTCTAAATACAAAGGCACCAGATCCCATCTGATCTTGAAAACGAAGTAAGTTCAACCCTGATTAATACTTGGATGGGAGACTGTCAACAAATAACAGGTGCTGTAGGGTGTATTTCAAGGGAAAGAACTAGGCAAATTATCTCTGAGTATCCCTTGCCTAAGAAACTCCTATGAAATTCATAAGATCACTATAACTTGAATTGTGACCTGAAGGCACTGTGAAGTCTTAGCTCTGCCTTTTCCTCTCCTCTGCTTCAATTCCCCATTTTCCCAATAGTGTAGATACCTTCCTTTGTATTAGTTTTGGGTGGAGCATAAAAACACTTGGAGGCCGGCATTAGTTGGTCTATTCCTTTTTCCTTATAGAGCTCCTTTGCTGGACTCCTCCTTTTCCTGCAGCAGAGCTACAGAGAATCGAGGCTTGCAAATTGTCTGGTAATCCTAGGCCAAAGCAATTTAAAAAAACAGGCAACTTTAGCACCTGCATTCAGCCATATTCTTATACCACCAGTCCCAGTGACAACAGAAGCTTTTGACCAGCTTAAGTTTCACAAGAAAGAAAACTGAGGCACCTTATAAGCAACAGATTGTAAACCATCACTTTGCACCAGAAGCAGAAGAGATGACTGCAGCCAGCAAAATCTCCTTTTGTAATGTACTATTTTAAGCTACCTTATAAGAGTCCTGGCTGGAGTTAACCCTTTATTCATCTTGTTTTCAGTAATCTCATTTTGGTTATCTTTTCACCTTGCCTAAAGCGCCTCCGTGTGTTTAGGGTCTCAATCTTAACAGAAGCTATACAGATAGCCCTTGAGTAAAGCCAGACATTATAGTTTTTTCCCAAAGGCTCAGGCGTGCCATCAAAGGCACATACATATAAAGAAGGAATATGGTATGCTAGAACAGACTTTCTAAAAGTGTTAGATTTAATTTTTATCAGCCTTTTTCAATAAACAGCCTTTTGCAGTAAAAGCAGGGCAGTGGCTCTGGATTCTTCACTCAATGTCACAATCGTTTCGCTTCCATGGAGACAGGGATCTAAAGAATGTTTCAGAGCCTAACTGGCTTCCTGTGCCCTGCTGCATGATGGATCAAGTTGGTCTCTTTCCTTTTGCGGGGTGCAATTTACCTGTCCGAACATATCCTCCCCTATGAGCCATCAAGATTACTAAGATCGTCTGGAGGGGCCCTGCTCTCGATCCCATCGGCCTCACAGGTGCGGCTGGTGGGGATGAGAGACAGGGCCTTCTCGGTGGTGGCCCCTCGACTCTGGAACTCCCTTCCACTGGAGATCAGAACTGCCCCTTCGATCTTAACGTTCAGGAAACAGGTGAAAACCTGGCTTTGGGGATTGGCATTCAACGAATGAGCCATGATCCTGTGATATGGATGGATGACGACGAATAATGACTTTGATGACGACTGACCACTGTAATCATATGATTGTATTTTTGCCATTTTAATTGTTTCAATGTTTTAATGTTTTAGTGTGGTTTAGAAATATTATGTTTTAATGACGGTCTGTAATATTGATGTTGGAAACCGGCCCGAGTCCCTCGAATGGAGGTGAGAAGACCGGTATACAAAACTACCAAATAAATAAATAAAATAAGTTTCTCCATCCCAATTGATGTTATAAGTGTGGACATGGACTGAATATATTTCTGCAAGAGAGAATTGAGACAAATGTGCTGAAAAAACAAGCTCTTCAGCTCTGATAGTGTAATACCAGGTGGATTTAAAAGATATAACAAGATTGAGATGGTAAGCTCTGAGAGGAAAAAAAAAAAAGAAGAGTGATGTGAAAGAAAATGAAAGAAAATTGTCAAATGGGCTATTCAGATTGAATGAGTTTAGAAGACAAAAGCACAATAACTAGAGACAAAGCCTGTGTAACAAAATAGCTAATTATAATGTAAGTTTTAAATGGGTTTATTGATGTGGGGATATTAGTGCAGGCCAGCTTATGTGTTGCCTGAGCTGAGGCGTTGCCATAGTGACGGAACCGGCTGTTAGAATGTATCCAAGTTAGAGAAGCCAAAGGGGCGGGGCTAACTGCCACTTGGCAGGAGCAGGAGTTTCTTTTGGTCAGTCTTTGGTGAGGAAGCCGAAGAGGAAAGTGGTTCTGGTGTGTTGAGAAACCAAACTAAGGGATTTAAGTCTTCAACCTGTGTGTTTAGAGAATCAATTGGACCTGTTTAAATGAGCAAGCAGCTCGTGAGCTAAGGGGGAAAAGAAACCCCAGTAGAAATCCATAACTTCAGTGGGGATAGCTGAAGGGAGAAAAAGGCAAGTCAGTGCCTTGAATTGTCAGTTAAGAAAAGAAAGATACTTCGCAGTGAAATAGGTTTAAAACCAGTCTGGTGGAAATAAAAGCCATACT